TAGGCAGAATCCAGCAGTATATTTAACCGTGGGCATGGGGTACTTTTTATTCCTGTTTGCACCATACCCATTGTTATGGAAATTTTAATATTTAGTTATTTGTAGTGAGATGCAATAAACCAGGTAGACCAAACCATGTCTTTCTTGAGTTTTATTCTCGCAAGAAGGCCATTCACATACAGACATCAGTTTTCTGCAGCGAAGGGCAAGCTTGCCTAGTGAGGACTGCCTTTTTATACATCACTAACCTCACTCTGCTGTTTTCCTGTTATGTTTATTGAGAAAGATCTATACCATTTAAGGAGACAAAAACATCTCTTATTCTCTAGACCACAAGACAGAGGGACCGTTTCTAAGAAATAGCAGGATGTCGAGTAACCAGGTGAGAGACAATTTCAGTTCATATGAGGTGACATTTGAAATAGCACACAGTAATTTACCACTTAGATCAGTTGTCTGTTGCATGCAAGCACATTGTTACATGTATATCCTGTGTTTCCCCCTTCATAGTGTTTTTGGTTCAGTCCTGTGTCCCAGTTTTCCCGCTCCTCGTTAGTGTTCAGTTAAAGCACCTGTGTCTTGTCATCATCAGTTCAGTTAATTACCTCATTATGTTCCTTTGTTTGCACATGCATTTATACCCTGTGTTCTCCTTCAGTCCTTGTCTGTTCTTGTTTACGTGGTTTCTGTGACTCCTGTGTACTGTTCATGATTATTAAATTCCTGTTTTCTGGCATTCCTTGTCTCCTCGTGCTTCCTACCACCACGTAACGTTACACATATACATGAAGTCAAATTATTTGCCACCACATTTCTCCCTTTTAAATATTATGAATTAACTTTAAATTATTTTACATTCTTTCATACGTGTGGTTGACATATTTGGCTGAAAAAGTTTTTTTTTTTTTAAATCTCAAATGCAAGTCACGGAACTCATTGGGTTATATTCTACCAACTCTTATATTTCCAAATATATATGTGGTCTTGTAGATTTTGTCCTGAAATGTACACTTATTCACTAGTTTATTGTCTTAGTGACTAAAATTGTCATGTGGTGTGACATGAATGTTATTGTGTATTCAATTAAAAAGGGGTATAATGTGATAATGTAAGTCAATTTATCCTGATTCTTTATCATTACTATATAAAAGTATAGCATTTCTTATGTGCAAATGTATTACATTTTGCATTATTTTACTTTATCAACACTCATAGAAAGACGTTTACTCGTAATCTTTCAATATACTTCAAATTAATTTGGGAATACCTGTTATAAAAGTACCAAAATGCTTGTAAACTTTGCTGGCACTATTCCCCATCTGTCACATTGATGATTTTATGATTAATATCCAAAATGCCTTCATTTTTTTCAAAAATTCTGAATGTCACACCAAATGACATGGTGTCATGCCATATAATGAATCACACCACACAACAATCTGTATGCAAAAATCTGTATTAGCTGGATTTAACAAACAACCAAACTTAGTTTGACAAGTGAATCATTGTTTCAGTTACAGCAAAATCACAAAATTGTTTAAAACAGTGAGTTCTACTCAAAGTAGCAAAGAATCATATGTTTATAACACATTAATTAAAGCTGCAGTCCGTAGCTTTTTTTGGGTTAAAAATGATCCAAAATACATATTTGAGAAAATACATAACCAGCCAGTGTTCAAAACTATCTGCTTGCCTTAGCTCGATTCAAAGCGGTAAGCTTGTAATAATGTTCTTAATTCCAGTGGTACTGGTGGATTTCCGCGGGAGATTCGAGCATGTCTTTGCGTCATTACGTCACATCTGTACACATAAAGAAGGAGTCTCGGCTAGTAGGATATATTGCGTGTGAGGATGTTGGAGGTGGAGATTTATAGCCTTTTCTCACAGCACTTGATATAATTAAACTTATTATGGCGGATCCAGAAAGGTTCAAACTACAATCACCAGTGACAACGGATTCACCCGCTGTAAAAATGCAAAAGACTTCGTTCGGACTTCGGAGTGGCTACAGAAAAAAAGAGACTGCAACCGGGCCCAAGCGAAAACAAGGATACATATCGGAAGGACATTACATGTAGTCACGCAATGCTGACGTTGTTAACATTAACAATTTGAGAACGAAGTATAATTTGCACAGTTTTGCGTGATATGATAACTTATAAGCGATTGTTAGATTTAATTAGCGCGATTTACTGCAATGTCAGAACCAGAACAAAAGTGGATGTTGCTTACTTGTTCAGATGACATTTTCCGGAGAAAATTCTTATGTTGGTCATACTTCCAAAAAGAATAATCTGTGATTCTGAATGCCAGTATTTTAATCTGCTGAATATTAACATGAATTAATAATCTTTAGTAAATCACTGAACATTTGTTTTGCTTGTCTTTCTGTATTTGCCATCTTTCACCATCTACTGAAATCTACCTCAAACTGAAAGATAAATTCAGAGAAGAAATTGTTGAATAAAGTCCTTATTTTGTTTGTTTTTTGGCGCACAAAAAGTATTCTCGTCGCTTCATAAAATTAAGGTTGAACCACTAGTCACATGGACTATTTTAATGTCTTTCCTACCTTTCTGGGCCATCAAAGTGTTAATTAAATAGCTGTCAATGTAGCCCCCGAGCCATAGGATTTCATCAAAAATATCTTAATTTGTGTTCCGAAGATGAACAAAGAACTTACAGATTTGGAACAACATGAAGGTGAGTAATTAATCACAGAATTTTCATTTTTGGGTGAACTAATGCTTTAATCCTTCCAGTTCAAAACATATCATCACTTCAAAGAAGAAATGCAATCTGCGTTTTTGTGAGACATAGACATCTCTGTTGGTTTATCAAGCGGTAACAAAATCAACCTTTGTAGTGGCAAAAAGAATGGGACTCATGCACTAACAAATTACAACATCAGATGTCGTTTAGGACATTCCATATTTTATTCAGCTGTATGTGTGTTCTGCATGATCTTACTCTTTTTCCTAATCAAATTTTGTTAGATTTTAAAGGGATAGTTCACTTTGAAATAAATGTTTGATATGTTTTAGCTTACCTCAAGGGCATCCAAGATGTAGGTGTCTTTGTGTCCACAGTATTTTCAATTTTGATATTTTTAGGTCAAACCGTTCTTGTCTGTCAGTCATATAATGCAGTCCTATGGGGTCCACCTCAAAGAGCATGCACAGAGAAGTCTAAATTAAACATGATTTAATGACTCGTAAATGTAAGTACACATTGATGGCCTAAGACACCAAACGAGCGGTTTGTGTGAGAAAACGAACAGTATTTATATCGTTTTTACTTCTTGTAAACACAGCCACGTCCAAGTGATCTGACGGCGCCGGCGGTTCGGTCTTTTCCGGAAAGCACCGGAAGTGATCTCTCGCGCGTGTACGTCACTCATACAATTGTTTTATTTTTTTGGAATTGTTTTCTTTTACGACGGTTTAAACATCCCGAATAAGCGCAAATTAGTACCCTTTTAATTAGCCGTCTTACCTTCAATCTCTGCTCTGTGTAAACAATGAGTGACGTACACGCGCGAGGTTTCACTTCCGGCGCTTTCCATAAAAGACCGAACCGCCGGCGCCGTCAGATCACTTGGACCTGGCTGTGTTTGCAAGAGGTAAAAACAATATAAATACTGTTCGTTTTCTCACACAAACCGCTCGTTTCGTGTCCATCGTGGCCATCAATGAGTACTTACATTTACGAGTCATGTGCATGTCTGTGCATGCTCTTTGAGGTGGACCCCATAGGACTGCATTATATGACCGACAGACAAGAACGATTTGACCTAAAAAAATCAAAATTGAAAATACTGTGGACACAAAGACACCTACATCTTGGATGCCCTTGAGGTAAGCTAAAACATATCAAAAATTTATTTCAAAGTGAACTATCCCTTTAATGACTTCACAGATTGTCATGATTAGCCAGATTTTCTTTTTGCCCTGTATTGAGAGCTTTAATCGGATTGCATGGGAATATTCGGACCTGGTCCGTCAAAGCTATCACACATTCTCTCTTATTTAGAGAACTGTTGCAACTATTATCAATTTGTAGCATCTAAGGTTGTCATTTCTGCATTAGGATTTTAAAACCCTCAAGTTTATTCAAGAATTATCCCTAGATTATTTATTATTTTTACAATAATGTAAGTAGTGAGAGTCCCTATAGTCTATATAAAGAGATTTATCTCTTTTCGATTTACATGTACCTGAAATATTTTTGAATAAATCAGCAACTAATCAAATCGTGAGATGTACAGTATATCATTATACTCAGCCCATAGTTTGATAGAATCAAACAAAATCATCACACAAACGGATTCTTACTCAACTTAAATTATTAGTTGGTCCACATCTTCTTCCAGGTGTGTTGATCATCTCGCATGGACATGACATCCCATCATCAGGGTGACTTTGCAAGCCGTTGCTTGCATGGATGAACACTTTCTTGTCGTTTCTTCTTATATTGTCCAGTGATTTTTAAATAAAGTGTTTTGTTTAAACACTTTACAACCTGGATGTTTTAGAAAACCATGAATCTTGTCAACATATGTCGCTATATTTCGTAAGGGCATCAAGAATCGTGGTGTTCCGCCCAGTAGGCCAACTGATTAATGCTGGACCTCACCCTATTTTTATACATGTTTATTTAAAGTTATGATGTCGACATAGTTGAAAACTATATGCCCTTGAAGAAAGCGGACACTCCTTGTCCTTATCTGTCCTTATAACTGTTTTTATACAGCAATAATTTTTCCACATTATTAACTGTTTTTGACTCTGTTTTTGGCTCTATTCACTAAGTAAACATCTTCCCTTCCACAGTCGAGTGTGTCTGTGTATTTGCGAACACCTGCGCAGCTGATTGACCTGAGTTCAGTATTACTCAACCCGTTGCCAAACTGCACCCACATACACGAAACCCGCGTTCCTCAACATCACAGCCCGCTCAGTGAAAGTGGAGAGGTCTGCGCTCTCCTAGGGTGTGTTCACACAGAGCAGGTTTTTCAGGTCTCCAGTGGACATTGAAAAGACGCGCCCGTGGCTTCGTTACTCCATTCATTCCTCTGAAGGATAGCGGGAGCGCGACGATGGCAGCGGTCACGCAACAGATGTCGAGCCTTCCCAGCGGACTCCGGATCTGCACCACCGCACCGGACATCCTCTACCTGCCCGAACTGGTGCGTGAACGGAACATTTAATGCTTTTTTTTTTTTATCCAGTTATTGTAAAATAGCATATCAGATGAATATGGGTAAATATTAAAATAATCTTTCAGAATATTTCTATCATTTTGTTAGCTAGGCTATTTATTTTTATATTTGACCTATTTATTTTTATGCTTATTTTTAAAGAAGCATTTTTTACTATTTTAACATTTGAGTGAAGGTAAGAGTAAAGCGAAACGTGTAAAAAAAATGCAATAGAAATAGGCCTACATATTTTTTAGGGCTTCAGTTAATTTAGTTTGTGGGGTAAAAATGTCTATATTTAGGCTATAGCCTACAGTTCCAGGTCAAATTTGATATGTTAAACTAAAGTAGCCTATTGGTGGTTCCACTTATTTATATTAAATAGGAGATAACGGTTGGAGAAGGGAAGTTCACATAAAAATTATTTTACGATTATTACATTTTAATTATTAGAATTTTATTCTATTCTATTTCTATAATTATTTTTTATTTGTATATATGTTTTACTACAAACTGTAATTGACTGCGGGTTTCTGGTGACATGAGGTCTCAGCCCAGCACCTCCACAACTGCAGCATTTGACACCGAGGTTAATGAGGGACACACAATAGGCTACACTTACGGAACCCATACACCTGAATTAACCTGTAACGATGGATCAGAGAATGGTGTTTAAAAAAGGGGCGTTTGTTTTGTGGTTGTGGTTCTTGTCTGAGGCTGAAGGGCATGAATGTGAGTTTAGGTCATGTAGGCCTATCAGATTCTAGCTCAAATGAAAGGCGAGATGAGTCTGTCTGTTTGGAGGATATGTGCAAGAGACAGAGATAACAGAGACGGTGAGTTTGCGTGCTTTTTCATATTTTCTTTGTGTTGAGTCTCTGTTACAGTTTACCACATTTTAGATATGGTAAACATAAATACGTGGACCAATGATGCACAGTCAGCCTGTCACTGTCAGACAACATAATGTAGGATAGCCTAATTATTATTTTATTTAGAGATTAAAAAATACCAAATAGTCTACATAATAAAATGCGTGGACATGAAATGATGATTTAAGCGCGGGGCAATAAATGAGAATACATTTAAGAGGAGCTGTCTGGCTTTAAGCCGAACATCACGTGAATAAACAGGAAAACAGAGGTGGACAGTAACAAAGTAGCCTACATTTACTTACTGTAGGCTACACTTTTTGAGTAGCTATCTGTAGCTACTTTACTTGAACTCGTATTATTTTTTCTGGAAACTTTTTACTTTAACTTCGAAGTTTCAAACTACATTTGAAAGACACATATCGCCACTTTTTACTCCACTACATTTCTGTCAATGTCCTTGAGTAAAAAGTAACGTCAGTCAGGGGCTGATTTTGGTTGCAGGGGTTGCATTTTGGTTGTAAATGAAAGTCGGGTTGACGTCAGAACCGATTTTCATTTTCAACCACAATGCAACGTCTGTCCAATGTTGGAGATTAACGTAAATTACGTTAATCTCCGTTGGATTCTGACATTCTGACGTTGGATTCTGACATCTTTCTGATTTTCCTTTTCAACGTTGGGTTTGGTCTTCTAAAATGCGAATTTTGTCATTGTTTTGGAGTACACTAGCTTATAGATGACAGTAAGGCTAACATATTCATACTAGCAAAAAAACTTTAAATAGGGCATTTGAGCCGATGGAACAGCCATTTGGGTGTCCGAAACCATTGTGGACGTTATTGAGAGCACTTATTCAATCTCACATTCAATCCCACTGGAACTGTGTTTTAGAAATACATTTGATATTGATATGAGGGTAGGTAGGCAGGCATATTCAGAGGCACTAGGTACTATGGCAAGCCGTTTTAGCTGAAATTGTTCCCATGCAGCGTTACTCGTCGTAATTGCATTTTTACTAGTAAGAAATCAATTAGAGAGCTCTACAATTCAATTCTTAACATAATTAAGATTAGAGAGCTCTCTAATTCAATTATTACTAGTTTGAATTACAATTACAGAGCTCTCTAATTCAATTCTTACTAACAATTCCAATTAGACAGCTTTACAAATTAATTTGTACTAGTCATATGTCTCCATTGACGTCCATTCATTTTTAATTACGGAGCTCTACAATTGAATTGTTACTAGTAAGAATTCCAATTAGAGAGCTCTCTAATTCAGTTGTTAGGCCTACTAGTAAGAATGCAATTGCAGAGCTCTTTAATTCAATTACAGAGCTCTGCAATTATACATATCTTTAAGTCTTTTTTTTGCTAGTAAAAATTCAATTAGAGAGCTCTGTAATTGCATTCTTACTAGTAACAATTCAATTGTAGAGCTCCGTAATTAAAAATGAATGGAAGTCAATGGAGACATATGACTAGTAAAAATTAATTTGTAGAGCTCTCTAATTGGAATTGTTACTAGTAAAAATATAATTAGAGAGCTCTGCAATTGTAGTTCTTACTAGTAATAACTGCTACTAGTAAGAATTGAATTGTAGAGCTCTCTAATTGAATTCTTACTAGTAAAAATGCAATTACGACGAGTATCACTAGGTACAATTTAAGCTAAAACAGCTTGCCATACTGTAGGCTATTACATACAACAATGCAACAATAATAAAACAATGCATTGACATTTACTTTTTTTTTTACTTAAGTACTTTTAAAAACGAGTACTTCTGTACTTTTACTTAAGTAAAAATCAGCCTTTACAACTTTTACTTGTAACGGAGTAATATTTGACCAGTAGTGTACTTTCACTTAAGTAAGGTTGTGTATTTTGTCCACCTCTGAAAACAGGTCTCAACGTCTCATTGCATCAGATTGAATGTCTGAGAAAATGTTAACAGCAATACGTACAGACGGCGATATGGACCTTAATAGTAGGCTCAATTCTTGCGCCACTCCTGTTCAACCTGTATATGCTCCCAATGAGCCAAATAATGAGAAAGAACAAAATTGCTTACCATGCAGACGACACACAGCTCTAGCCCTATAGCCTAACGACTACAGCCCCATTGACTACCTGTGCCAATGCATTGATGAAGTAAACAGTTGGATGTGCCAAAACTTTCTTCAGTTAAACAAAGACAAAACTGAAGTCACTGCGTTTGGAAACAAAGATGAAGTTCTCAAGGTGAATGCATACCTTGACGCTAGGGGTCTAACAACTAAAAATCAAGTCAGGAATCTTGGTGTGTCTCTAGAGTCAGACCTTAGTTTCAGTAGTCATGTCAAAGCAATAACTAAATCAGCATACTATCAACTGTAAAATATTGCAAGAATTAGATGCTTTGTTCCAGTCAAGACTTAGAGAGACTTGTGCATGCTTTTATCACCAGCAGGGTGGATTATTGTAATGGACTCCTCACTGGCCTTCCCAAAAAGACCATAAGACAGTTGCAGCTCATACAGAACGCTGCTGCCAGGATTCTGAGCAGGACCAGAAAATATGAACATATCACACCAGTCCTCGGGTCTTTACACTTGCTCCCAGTTACATTTAGGATTGATTTTAAAGTATTATTACTGGTATATAAATCATTCAATGGGTTAGGACCTCAATATATTGTAGATATGCTCACTGAATATAAACCTAATGATCACTCAGATCATTAGGATTACTGATGGAGACACACCCTCAGCTCCACTGACTATGGCTGCGTCCGAAAACTGGTAAATGCTGCCTTCAGAGGACGCATTCCAAGGTCGTGAGGCACGTCTGATTCATGGTCCGAATGCAATGTTTGTTTCACTTCCTGTTTCCTGAGATACCTTCATTTTGATTGATTTTTGAAGGCAGCATAGATCTATCCTTCGCTGCCTTTGATATCCCACAATCCTGTGCTTTCCATTCTGTGACAGTTGAGCTTTAAAAATAAAGATGGCGTCTGAATGTTGTGGCTGTCTTCATTTTGTGTGTAAATGTAAATTTTTGATCAACGTTTTCCACTTACGATGTAATTTCAAGTGAGAAATTACTATTGTAGTCATAAAGCTTGCTCTATTTTGCTGTATATCATTAAACCGTTACGCTGCCTCAGAAGTCTGTCCGAAGAGGTACCTTCGTGCGCAAACGCAAAAGCCTATGTGAGACTAGACAGTCTTTTACAGACTTTGTTTTACAGTCTATTCTAGAGACTCTCTGGGTTTGTGTTGTGTATAGACAAGTTATGTGGAGTGAGTTTATCATTAATGTGTGTTAATAAGAATAAGTGTGTTAAACGGCTAATCTAAATCAAAGGTCTAGTCTGGTTGGTTGCACTATGGGCATGCGCAAATTACTATACTGAATTTGCATGTGTGTGTGTTTGTCATACAGGTGTTTGGAGGGTTAGTATGGATCCTGGTGGCATCCACATATGTGACTCCGAATAACCCTCTGGGATGGGTGATGTTTGTATCAGTCTTCTGCTTTGTGATGACCTTCCTCTGGCTCGTCATCTTCGCATGTGGAGGGCACAAAAACAGCAGCGCCTGGGCTACGGCGGTGAGCAGAGAACAGATTATAGTGCGAGTTTGTGGGTGTGTGTATGTGTGTCATTTGGGCCTCTAGGACATTTTTATTGTGGTGTCCAGAGGGGGGCCTTAAAAATATACACATACCTACACAGTTACACAATAAAACATACACTGAAAAAAAAAGTGGTAATCTGCAATCATTTCAAGGATCTATTTCTATATCTAACCCACAAAAATGACTTATAATATATTACAATATATAATTGTATTAATAGTAGACTTTTTATTTAAACCGAAACAATTTTATTTTGGCGAACTGGCTTTGATGATGTATTCTGTGTGCAGGATTTTATTTATCACCTTATTGCTGTTACGTTCTATCTGAGCGCCTCAGTGAGCCTGGCTTATGTGACCATCAACATGAAATTTGCAGCAGCAGTCTCTCCCTATAATAAGTACTATCAAACCGACATTGCAGCTGTGGTAAGCACAAAATACACACACTTTGTTATATGTTGATGTATGTTGACGGTGAATAGTTTTTTTTTTTTTCATGCTCATTTCCCCCATTTTCATATAACGGGGGCAATAATGTTTTTTTTTTTTTTTATCAATCAGTCACAATGCAGACTGCACACAGATATGAAATGGTTAGATTTGAACACATTTACAATGCAGAACAAAACTTTACTAAAAATGATTTAATGTTTAAAAATACCGGTATACCTGAATTGCATACTGAAGAAACAACTGAAGCAAACTGACTTTAGGGGGAACAGTTTATGTGCTCTATATAGAGCTATAAGGCCATCTAGTGGCAAGAGTCATAAAATAATTGTAAAAAAAAAATCAGCAGAGACACCCAGTGTGAGACTTTTTGACAAGTCTCTTTGACAAGTTGTTATAAAAATTTTTTGCATAGTAAATTAACATAGTAAATAGTAAAATCTCCAAAAAAAAAGCATTAAAAAATAGAACAAATATCAAATTAAGTGATATAAGTGTTATAATAAGTGATATATATATATATATATAAAATAAAAAGAAAATCGGGCTTCGGGTCATTTTGACCCACGAGGGAAGGTTACAGGTAAGGGAGGAGAGGATGAGGGAACACTAATCATTTATAAACACCGTTAAAGGTGATCTTTAGCAAATCCAAAAATTAATGTTAATTTTTAAAATGATTTTTAAAGCCGTTTAAATGTTTGACTGAATTTTTCCCCTCTCTCCTTCAGGTGTTCTCTTATATTGCCACATTGCTTTACTTCATCCACTGCATCCTTTCTGCTTTGCGGTGGAAATCCTTCTAATCAAAGAATCTGATCAAAAGGAAATCATTATGACATAAATTGAAAAACATTGTAAAACTACTGGGGGCCGAGAGAGATGAATCTCAGGGGTCAGTCCTGACTCGGCACCCTCTACTCAAAAACCACAGCAATCATGATGGAATAATCCCATTTACACTTTTCATAGATTATTCTGACCTTATTGCTTCTGTAATGATGATGCTTTCTTATATTTGGTAGAAGGGAAACTTTTTAAAATGGTATCTGTACTAGTATGATGACTCCCTGTGTAGATGCAGATGAAGAAACAACATGAGGGTTTTTTTGTATACTTCTTGTATCTTTGTAACAGATAAATACATTTTTGTATATTTAGCTACTACACACTATGAACAACATAATATTTTAATAAAAGAATATGAACTAGACATAATTCCCAGTGTAATTAATTCCTGAGGCTGATAATGTTTGGCCTGTAAATATGACTATATAAATAATGCATTTTGATACAGGCACATTAAGTCAGTCACACGGTCTTAATATTTTCTTATGTTGAATGCATTTTGTAAAGTGTAATTTATTTAGTTTTTTTTTTAAAAAGCTTGCATGATGTGAGACCAGCTTTTGAGAGTAACATTCAAGTGTCTAAACTTTCTAGTAATGTAGGGAAAGTCCCACATCCAGCTGGTAAGCTTTTTATACAAGAGAAACAAAAGCTGACATGTAAAGGGGTTTTAATGTAGATTTATTGGTGCATTTACAGTTTTTAGCCATGTGTAGGTAAGTGAGAACAAAGTCTGCATTCACTTCCACGCTCCTCGTTCATGTGTATGGACACATCAACACATTTCTGGGGCTACTTCTGGACTTTTACTGTTTGGTGAAATGGTAGTTTAGCAGCATGGTTCCAATCCAAGCACATGTGACATGCCCCAACACTCTTCCCAGCAAACGGTTGTCAGTTCGGTACTAGAGAGTCGGCCTGCAGTGCGTTTTAGCTGGACATCCCTGTTCAGATCACCAGATGGTCCTTTTAACCCCTGCCCACACTGATCTCTTAACACCCTGTGCTGCCTTCACATCAGCCCAGTGCAGACGTGGGTTAGGCACATCGTCCTCGGCTTCAGGTTCCTTACGGGCGCCGAGCTGCGGTCGCGCCACCACGATGGGCAGAGGGCCCTGTTCGGCCCTGAACTCCACCACATTCAGCTGCTTTTTATCAGATAGATTCTGATGAGTCTCCTGTAGAGGGACAGAGTGTCCTTAGTTTCCTGTGATCATGCATACTTAAGGTCCTAGTGAACAATGGATTAGTCTGTACTAGTGATCTCTCTCTCTCTTGGCACAATTCCCACTTCTTCTGGGATCCAATGAGAGAGGACTCGGGATTGCAGTGATGACCGGAATTAAATGGATTTCGCCTGAACTCTTTCCGTTACTTTAAAAAAGGGTTATCAAACAGCACAAATGCTGCAGGTGAACATCATTTGAGTAAAAACAACAACAACTGGATCACTGGAGAGAAAGTATACTAGCCCTTTTTTGCTTTGCTTGCACATTTGAAGTAGCATTTCAGATTACACAATAAATCATCCACAATAAAATCTTGTTGTGACAGCTTACACACTATGAAATACATGACTGGCGCCACCACGTGTTCCTGGAACAACATTCCCATCAACCATCAATCTGATTTTAGTGTGAGAGTAAAGAATGGAGTAGGGGCTTAAACAACATTGTTAATGACCCATAATATCTTTATGACTTTAGGTAATTAATAGTTGGGTTAGGGGTAGGTTTATCACGATGCCAAAATTTCATTAGTCAATATTTACATATACCAGTTAAATCTCAGTAATCTTGATAATACTAGATACTTATTTAAACCAGTTAAATATTATCATCAAAATTACAACAATGGCAAGTATTTTTCAACAAGTAAACATTGCTATATTTTAAGCAAATAGTCAGTAAATAGTCTACCAAAAATGTTGATGCAGGGACACACCATACTTGGCAAAATCATGGTCACTATATTAAACAATCCACTGAGATGTGTACAAAGCCTGATCTTATAGGTTATGGTACTGTTAATATCTCTCACCTGATTGGCCAGGCCATGGAAGAGAGCCCTGGTGATGTTGAGGAGGTTGACCGAACCGTCTACTTTTGCGTACATATCCTCTATCCCAATCAGTTTACAGAGAGTGATCACTGCCCGATGACAATGCAGACCATAACCTGATAGAGAGAAAACAATAGCGGGAGAAGGTAAAGATCTTTTACATGCTTTTATTTAGTTAGTTTTTTACTTTTGAAAAGAAAATTTAGTCAAGAGTTTGTCAATACTGTCATGTTCATTAATATCAGGTAATTTTATTGAGACTTAAATGGCACAATTTAATCAACAAAAATAACATTTAAAGATAGAGTTCACCCAAAATGAACATTCTGTCATCATTTACTCATCCTCATGTCGCTCTATGCCTTTCGTTCTTTTGTGGAGCATAATAGAAGATCTTTTTAATAATGTGGGTAACAAAACAGTTTCAGGTTCTATTGACATCCGTTGTTTTTTCGTCCATACAGTGGAAGTCAACAGTAACCGAAACTGTTTGATTACCAACATTCTTCAAAAAAAAAATTCAAAAGGAAAAAAATTGTCAAACAGGTTTGGAATGACCTGATGGTAGAATTAAATTTTTTGGGAGTACTATCCCTTTAACTAAGACCATTATATGTGGTTAGGTAGTACATTAGAGACCATGTGCATTATTAATACCTTGCTATTTTTTATCTTGACATTTTCATTAAAATTGTTTATCATCACATTGCATATCTAGTTTCATCTTGAAATCAAAAAATCCTTAGTCAATTGACATTTTCATGGGTGAGATTAACACTGGAGGAGAGAAAGTAAAAGAACAGACATCCAGAGTAAGTGTGATCCCACGGCTGTGTTCAAGAACAATATTAAACACACATTACAAGACAGTCTACAGATGGGAAAGGTGGCAGATCAGGTTCCCTGCGAGTTCCAGGTCCAATCATAACAGTTCCCGCCAGGTTTCATTTCTTAAGTGTCAGAGGTAAGACGTGGACTTTCACATCAGAGCTGAACTCAGAACTCCATTTCAAATACGAACATCATAATTTCAGCTCTGATGTCTGAAATCATTAAATCCATTGTGGCTCAGACTAGACATGAAGGGAAATCTGATACATTTGCTTGACAGTTTGAAATGACATTTTTGCACCATTAACATGCAGTACTGACTGACATCACAAGTGATGCACACAGTCCACAAAATCAGAGATCGTTCCCCTCAAAATCTGATCCAAAGTGGGCACAGTAGCATCCTACTAGATCTTCATAGCAAGTAAAAGAGTCCTATTTAATCTACAGAAACATGAAACAAAGTTTTGGACTTGGAAATGTGATGTATGTATGTGGAAACAGATTCTCTTACATGAAAAGAATCATACTGCAAAAGATACAGGATGAGCTCTAACATACTGGGCACAAAGCTCTGTTTTTATGCAAACTGAATGATTGTGTTTGAGTTACCTTTGTTCTGTTTCTTCATTCTGAGTGTGGTCCTTTTAAACGTTGACTCCATGTCATGATATACTGCACATAAGGATGAAAAGATAAACAGTGACAACACATAGAAAGAGGATTCATATGACAAACTCAGTCATATGACACTTTGTCGCTCGAGTATAAACCTCTGTTAAAAAGTTTAGTTTTTTATGCTTTTGAAAAGTCTTATGCTCACCAAATTTGATTTAAAAAATACAGTAAAAACAGTAACATTGTTCAGAAATCATTCTAATATGCTGATTTGGTGCTTAACAAACATTTATTATTATTAATGCTGAAAAAAAGTTTTCGTGATATTTTTGTGATAAATAAAATTTCAGGATCTCAAAAGAACAGCATTTATTTGAAATAAAAATATAAATAAATGCATTGTAATTTTAGTAAATTACATAGAAAATAGAACTATTTCGAAAATAGTTTTCTTTTTTAAATGAGGTAACCATTTTTTGCGTTAATGTACAACTGATAAAAAAAACTAAATAAAAAAACAGTAAAAATTGAATATTAATGGCATTGCTTAATTTCATTTTGCCAGAAAAATCAATGTGAAAGTGTTATGAATTCAATATAAATCACCAACCCCCCAAAAAGAGTCTCTCAAAATACAAACATTAAAACATGGAAGCTACATATGTAAATGATTAATGCTGCGACAGTAGCATCCTTACTAGAATCGTCTTAAACTGCACATATACAGGAGTGATTTACAATGTCTGTTTGTTATATGATAGACAGTGACGCACGTGTGTAACACTAGCACGCGCACACAGAGTAGAGTGTGACTCACTGGTATGGTTGTTGTATCTCTCGATGTAGTAGAGATAATGCATGGCTCGGTTCTTTGCCTGTGAAACAAAGCAGCGTATTTAATGTTAAGATGATTTCACTGTAACCTGATTTGGTAACTCTAACACTGAAATGCTGAAGGTTCAAATCTGTTAAGTGTGCCATGGGAACTGAGGAGTTTTTGAGCTCACAGCCCAGTTCTGTCATTATTGTGCGCTTGAGCAAGTCATTTAACCTCAGGTTGTTTGAGAGGAGAATTGTGCCTGCAATGAGTGTCCGTTATGTGACTTTGGGTGGGCGTGAAATAATGTATGCATGTGACTTGTGGCTTACTTTTCTAAGTGCGGTGTTCTTGTCTGCTGCTTTTCCCAGTGCAAACCCTGCAGAGAACAAAACAGCTCATCGAGACTGATTATGGCCATTGTATTTTTCCCAGCCTCATATTAAACTACTGCATTGTTCCATATACTCCAGACTTAAGTGCAAAAGTGCATATTTTCAAAACCGACTAGTCAGTGAGTTGTCTGAACAACTAGTTGAGGCTACTTTAACAAAGAACACCTGCTGTGAACACACAAGGCTTTCTCACTTTATGAAGGACAGAAATTGCAGGGTGTAAATATTTATTGATAATATTATAACAATAGTTTATATTATTAATTAATAGTAAAGGACCTTTCCAAGTTCAAGCTTGCTATATAGACTAGCAGTAACAGAAAAAAACAATATGCAAAATACATAGTAAAAACAGATTATAAGCCATTTACTGTGTGATATAAATAATATTAATAATAACAATAATTATTATTAATAACATTTATTTAATAATAATAATAATAATGTTTTATTTATAAATTATTATTATATTATTAATCTTATATTTTGTTTATAATTTTTATGATATGGATTGCTGTGTTATTTTTTTATGAGTGAATTTATTGCTAAAAATGCGGAAACCAACAACAACAAATGTATACAGGACCTGAATCTAGATTAAGAAATTCAGCCTAGAGAATCATCATTAAAGGTGCACGTGTCCGGAT